GAACCGTAAACTAAGTAAAAAGTTAAATTAGTAACACACACACACACACACACACACACACACACACACACACATCGATAAAGAAGAAAAACTATGAACAAATTTGTTAGACAAATACGATATATAATCGTAAGGATTTTCCGATGAATTTCATATCGTATCTTATCACGTTTACTAATAAAGATTTGACCCTCTCGCGTAACGAAGAATGCTATGAAAGCAAACCATCTCTTTTTCAACGATCGAGATTCGAGAACAAATTTCTATAGTCAACTTTACTTTTCTTCCTTTCTTTCTCGTTCTCGTTGTCATTCTCGCTCTTACTCTATGATAGATTATAAATTTCAATCAAAGCGCGATGGAATTAATATTGTAATATGTAGAAAAGCAACACTACATATATATTATACCTCGTGTTGCATTAAAATAATTTAACGCAACATAGTTAGTAATAAAGATTTAAATTGATAAAATATTTAAAAATCAAATTTAAAAATCGATACATCATTGCTCGTTTAACCATTCATAATTTGAAATTGTAGAGAGCATTTGCTTAATTATTTATTTAATTACAGATAAACAAAGAGTCGCGGTGGGAATACGGTTTTAATCACAAAATATAGTTAATAGCGTTAAAGCGTTAAAGCATGTGTTACGTAGTAAATATAATATATAATATATAATATACATTGACCGTTTTAATAAAAAGTCGTTCCATCGAATAATATTTCAACATTGCAAGATACATGCTCTTACGTAACGTTTGCAAATTTTAATAATATAAATAATTTATATAAGAAATAAAGAAATGCTGCATTTTCAAATATAATTTGTTAATACGTATATATGTTATATATATAAAACGTACAATTGACAAAGTTATTTAAATAAAAGTTAGAGATTTACCTACCTACATACATACATACATACATACATACATACATACATACATACATACATACATACATACATACATACATACATACATACATACATACATACATTACACATACATTATATTTACCTGCATCACAGTAGTTAAGATCCATGTCAAATCAGCCAGGATGTAAGTAAACATTAGATTCGTATGTATGTTGTTTCTGAGACATCGTAATTCCCTACGGAAAAGATATGAGACGATTGATGTCTTGAGAAATTCTGGAATGTTTTCCTGCTATATAAAGTTAATTAAAGTAGGTTAGCGCGTGATTTAAATTACGAAACAAACAGAAACGATCGAGCGGAATTCAACATTCGGAATTCAATTCAACGAGATCGTAGAGTACGGTGTTTCAACTGTTTGCTTCGAGACCTTGCGCTGCGATAATGCCGGTAACGATTATGTCAGGGAGATTATGCAGAAAGTTGAAAATCTATGCAGGAGTCTAAAGAATCAGTATAAAGAAATATCTTTAATGCAAAGGAAAACAAAAAAGGAATAGACGACAAAGTCTGTCGTCTATCCTTTTTTATTTTCCCTCTCCCTTAACGAGGCAACGGAAAAGTGGAAATTCGTTTAGTTCGAAGAATCTAGCTTTAGACAGGCCTGTTTTAGAGAGGCCTGTTATACAACATTAAGAAAATCCTGTGTGATTCCTCTTCTTGAGCAAATATTTGCTACAAATGATTCATAATCAAACTGAAGCTAAGTTTTCTAAATTAAAATTAAAATTAAAACAGCAAACAACCAAAGCCAAAGAACTGCCGTTTGTTCAACAGCCTGATTCTTTTTAAATAAAATAACGCGATAGACAGGAAGAGAATTTCAGATTGCGCGTTATTGAGGCTCAACTCACTTGTAATAGATGAATATGCAGACCGCCATTATTAGAGTAAATAAGGAGAGGCTGTAACCGATGAAATAAAGTGTAGTTGAAATTTCTACACCAGGCTCAATGGTCGGCAGCCGCACATCGCGACACATGGAATAATTGGAATAACGGTCCCAAGTTCCATTCGACCAACACCAACGACTGGCGTTTTCTGAAAGTGCAACAGATTTCAATTAGCAATTTGTATCCGCTCTCTCTCTCTCTCTCTTACTCAGGAAATTCTCTTTTAGTCTTTAAGTAACTGTAAATAAAGAATGTTTATTCTTTCGAAATGTTCAAAACATTCACCTATTCATCTAAATTAATTCAACTGTACGTATCTTTGATATGCATCTCAACAATCGATAAGTGGAAATGTAATAAAAAAGTTATCATTATATCATACATTATGCGCGTTATCATCATATAGGAATGCTACACAAAATGAGACAATGCTTTTTTAGACAGGAACATGATGTTTGATGTGAGATGTAACTATTGGTATGCCTAACTTGTAAAATATAAAAATATATCCATGTTTAATAGAATAAAATTAAGCTATTCCGTGCACACAAACATTGGAAATTAATATTTTCTCTCCTTTGCGGGACGTTTGCATGGCGATGTTTTTCGAAATGAATTCGACACAACGCGTGTCGTTGTTATCTAAATACAAATATTCCGATGTGTCATGCGCACTTGAGTGACCCGAGAGAGACGATTTCCAGCATTCTCGGCAATTTTTCACGATCTCGTAACGCCGCTAAACTGTGCTGCGAATATCGTCTGCGTTGCATTATTCACAACTACAAGGAAAAATGCTGGATGAATCGATACGCGAATAAAGAGGTCGGCTCTGAAGCGACCGGATCTTGTAACGGCAACATCCAGCAGCAGCAGCAATAGCAGCAGCAACAGCGGCAACAATAGCAGCAACAGCAGCAGCAGCAGCAATAACAGCCTCAATGTATCGCATTCTAATTTTCTTAATCATAGCACGGTGAGCTTGTCGATGAAGAAAGTTTAAAATAGTCGTATATCATCTCTATATACACAGACAATTTTAATAATAATCAATTTACATAGATAAATTTCTGAGCGATGATAGACCTCATCGTTATTATTAATAAATCGGTAATAAACAACTTCTTGCCTGAAAATAATGATCGACTACTCATAATAACGTTTTGTTTAAACAAGTTTGCAAAACTTGTTAGTGCACGTCTATTTATCGTATAAAGCCGCCCAAAACAATGGGTGACGCGAGAGTCGTGGAGTGCGTCATAAAGTTTCATAATTATTCTTGGAAATTAATGGATATGCACCTTTACTGGGAATTCTTATGCAAACTATTAATCTACCACGAGAGAACTTTGTCATAGTTTTATAATTAATACGATATCAATTTTATACGCGCATGTATACGTGTTTGCGTTTGCACGGATATGCGTACACGCGTACACGCGTACTCGTATGTTCTTGTCTATGAATTATTATTGATAAATATATCTCTTGAAATAATGTTTAAAATTATCAAACATAAAAATACACAAGATGATAACGAGTGATATAAAGTTATTTTTCGAATAAATCTTGATGAAAAAATAGTTTAATTTTAAGATTTAAGATTTATTTGCCTCAATATCTATTGAATTAAACATTTTAGACAACGCTCCTGCATTCACCGCACCATCTTGAATTACGATGTCAGAAGCGAGAAAAACACGTGATAAAAATTCTAGGAAAATATCTTAAAACGGAAACATTTTTCAATAATATTTGATATAACACTGAAATAAAACAGACTTGTAAAATATATCAAAAACTCTCCTGTTTTGCTCCGGTAATCGATACCGAAAAATAACTATATATTTAGAAAATAAATGCCTAATTAAAAAAAGAATCACAATTCAGTTCTAAATGTATGGTTATTTATTAATTAACGGAGTGAAAAAAGAACTTTCGGTCATATATCATACAAGTCTAGAATGAAATAATTTTATCAAAAAATGTTTCTATTTCATTTTGCAAGAATTTTTACATATTTTCTCGCTTCCGATGTCATAATTCATGATGGCTGCAGTGAACCAGCAGGAGTCTTATTGTTGTATTGTACACTCTACTTGAATTAACGTAGAACGTATTAAACCGTATTAGTATACTTGTATAAGTAAAGATAACATGTATAATTAGAATACAAGTTTCTTTATTCAAAAAACTCTCCATTAGAGAGAGAAACTAATAGAAAAACAATAATTTCATCTTTAAAATGCATTGATTATTTTCATTATATTGCATCGATTGCGGCGTGTGTCTTGAGAAAATAAGATTTTGTCGAAGTTGAGTAGTTCTCTGGCAGGGGAAAATCCCAAATTATGTGCAAGCCCATTCTATTTATTGAGATTTGCATTGTGATCAAAATACACCGTTGAGATTTTATTTCAATTATTTCAATTTAAATACGCGCATTGTCTCCGAGTTCAGTTTGTACATTTACGCTCTATATTCGCATCACAAGAGCGCCGAGCAAGCTGTATCGACAGATGTTCCAAATAAAAAAAAAAAAAATTAATCTTATTTTCACAAAATAGATTACATTAACAATTACAGACATTCATAATACATTATATAAATACAGATGAGATTGTGGAGATTTCGAAATGCGATAGATGTTTCCCATCATTTTCTGTCTAAATTTCAATTTTCAATTAATTTAATTATTATGCATTAATTATTCATATATGTTATTCATTTGTATAAGTATATATAGATATATATATATATATATATATATATATATATGTGTGTGGTGTTATTAGTAGTAT